AGTGTTTCTTGTCTTCTAAGGTCTCCCTTCTATCAGTCTTTCTAGGTGTCTCAGTCTTCCATCGTCTTCGCATCTTCGTATATTGTAATGTAATATAATAGTATACTGTGGCCCTTTTTTTAAGAAGAAAACTTATTTGGTGTTGAACAGCTAATTTTTGGGATGAGCCACGTAATGGACTTTCATTCAGATTCGTAGTGACGTTTGTATGCGCGTACGGCATACGCAATGATTTGCGATGGCCAGCCAAAATAGAAATTAGTGCTGTTGTGATCCCAGACGATTATGACAGGAATTGACCGACCATGGTGATATGAAAGGCTTTGGTTAGTCTAGGCGAGCTCAAACCCGAGATTCGATCCCAGACCATGCGTTTGATGATGTGACCTGCCGCCATGCTCCAAATATATACTATTAGAAACACAGTAATCGTGCGCAGTTCAAAAGTATCACTAACGACCATGAATGTCCGATAATGGAGGGAAGATTGAACAGTCCCGTCAATTTCATGCTTTCTCATGTTCGCTGTCTAATATAAGAAGAGTAAGAACACCCAAACCAACCTGTAATGGACAAGCTACTCGCCACGTGTTCAAGTTGATTTACTTCGTATCTCAATGCCTCGGGGTTGGTTTATCTTCTATTTCTTTTCTAGGTGAGTGAAACTCATATGGGGACCAGGTCAGGGTCCCAAAGTAGTAATGAGCCGCTTAATTTTATTTTTTAATCGCTTGACAAAGTTTTTTCAGAATTTTTTCAAAAGCTGAAAAAAACGGTGAAATGTAGTTTGGGAAGGGGAGGGGGAAGATGAGTACCCATTAGCAAAACAATGTTAGTATATCAAGTAATTACACGAAGTTACGTGTTGTTCCGTGTTACACCAAGGACATGCAAGTTATTAAGTAAGCCTTAAGAGGGAAGAAGCACCGGGGTGGGCGACTTTACAGCTTCTCGCCCGAGGTAATCATCTCATCCACCCCGTTGCTCCTACCCTCCCAAGGTCCAGCGTTATGAGGGCACCCTCTCCCATACCGATTATATTTTCACCAAAAAACTTTCTAGACAATTTACGGATGAGGAATAATGTGTGACCCTTCACTGGCTTTTCATTTTTTGAAATGAAGGGATCTGTTAGTTGCTAAGAAGAACGTCGAAATTATCCATGTTGAACTTACTTGAAGTCTGATATGAATGTGAGACCGCATCGGGGAACTCTTGCCTCCTCGAAATCCCGTCATTCTTACAATATGAGGTCAAACTTCCCACTGCCCCCCCCCCTGACACTTTCATGCCTAAATTCATTGACCCTCCTCCAACGATCAGTTTTTCACTATCAAGTAAGAGTGTGGAACCTTAAAATCTTTTACTCGAAGTATTGTGCTGTATTATGTGATCCATAGAACTACAGGGAACGAGTACAAAGAAAAAATGAGACCTCCTGAGGTAATGAGTAAATCGTCTAGGGTGCGAATATTCAATGGACCGAATCATACTTGAAAGCACTGCTCACAACGAAAGTATTTCCTGAGAGTTCCCAGAATGGTGTACCTGTGACCCGAAGAAGAAACTGGCAGTTCAACAATCCGATCGACCGGGGCGTTTTTAAAGAAAGCTTTCCCAGACCTGGAACCTTCATCAGTAATATATTTCCCACACCCAACCGCCACATTTAATCAATCGACGTTGTTTATCACAATAACTAATCAGTCAATTCGTCTTATCACAGTAGTAATACGGGTATCACGGGTGGCTAGGCGAGGACCCGCCCGATTGTTGCTTATCTATTTCAAGAATATGGCTGTGTTTAGAGTCAGTGTTGATTACTGGCGACCACTTTTGGTTGCAGTCCCTGTTCTGTACACCGAACACATGGAGAGTATGTGCTGAAAGTCGATATAACTGCCATTCCACCTTTGAGCTGCATTTTTGTAAAAGAATTGTTTATTACAAGAAAAGTGCCTCGCAAAACACATTGTAGACCCCTTTCGAGTCTTAATGGCAATCTTTCAAACCCCCTGTTCGAGCAGCTCGAAGACTAGTTTGTCGGCATTTTCAGGATACGGTAGTATAAAGGGTGTGTTAACGAGCTAATGCACCACGAGCCATTAACATCGCCTCAGGATTTGCCAAGGGGATTGCTTCGCTATCTCGCGTCTTCTTGGTCATCCTTCTCTGTACAACCCTGTCTATCGCAAAATATCCTGTTCCGCTCACATCTAGGGCGATATCTCGTCTCACAAGCTCAGGAGAAACACATTTCTTTTTAGGAAAAAGTGCTCTGCCCTAAAAACTTGGCATTTTCCGGTTTTCCGCAACATTGTGTGAGGGGTTTCATTTATTCTGCCTCTAAACTTTCTGTAGATACTTTTTGTTTTTTGGTCGTTGATAGATGGAGTCCCCATTAGCAATGCTGAGTATTTGATATATTTCATTGATAACATGACGGTATGAAGAGGTCGCGTCAGGCGATGTCAAAGAAATTGCAGTGTTCGATGACATCAGTCGCATTGCTACCGTTGATATCACAACTTTCCCAACGTTAAACATATTTTATCAGATAGACACATGATTTCTTTTGTCGATGATGTTGATGTATGTATATATTTGTATATGTGAAGGCAGAGGGAGAAATAAGCACGCTATACCTTGTAGTGAGATGAGATGTGTAGGGTCATTCGCTGAATTTCATCAAGCCTACTCTTTTGTTATCATTGCTTTGCTCTCTGATGCATTAAATCAAGGTTATTACTTTCAAACTGGCGCATCTGTTTCGAGGGGCAGCAGGCTCGTTTTTCGAATGTACTTTAGCTCCACTGCCTTATGGCATTTCATGTTCCGCTTCGGTTCGAAAGCGATTTTTTACGTATTGATCAGAGCCCAACTGTTATGTTCCCCTGCTGAGGCGAATGTTTTTTGTTTGTTTTGCACACACGGTAATGCAACCTCATATGTTTAGCGAAGACAGAACAATCAATGAAAACCGCCCTTCGGAATTCATTTCTCGACTCATTTGATCACTTGTGACCGAAATTGTTTGGGCGTAGTCTCTTGCTCTACACCAATTACCCTATGGGTAGAAATAAGGACTTTCTTCTTCTCGCAGCTCTTCTCGCCGGCCGACCGTGATGGATTTTATCCACAGCTCCTAGTATGCGAAATTAAATACATGGACAGGGTAACGGAGTTGGGGCATAGGCACTTGTCGTCGTGTAAGTTACCATGGAACAGGTGGAGGGGATACAGCGCATACTTTTACACAAGTGTTCAGGCAATATTAAAACTTCGAAAGATCACGTTTTAGCTTCTACCTATTGACCACTTTCCTCCACCATATTTTCCTACAGACCTTGTTACCATCTTCCCTGCCTCATGGCTTGTAGCGACCCAAAAATCACTTCATCCCAAGTGATCCGACTCGCAGGAGAGCGCGGTAGGGATGTTCTTCAGTTCAGAAATTGTGTTGCTTGACGTAAAGCAATGTTGACTCAACGCTTATTTCAAATGAAAGATTTTATTTAACAATGTTCTTTGATATGTTTACTGGAACATACGGTATGATACGATATAATGCAAGCTGCCGCTCGACCTTGCGGCCCCTTGGTGCTGCCCTTAGAGATCGGGTCATACGCATATCGCAATAGATTCCTATATCACGGTCTCCAAGTATGGCTTTTCTACATGGTCTAGGGAGCTCAGATAGTATGTCGCGCAGGAATACTGGTACGTTGGCCGGTTTTGGTTTTTTAGTAAAAAAAAGTGTCGTTATCACACTCTGCGATTCTTTTTCCTGTAATCCACTCTATGTTTAGTTGCAAGAATGAAAATCGATCCTCTCTGTTAACCTCATCCCTGCCGCATGTCGGCGTTTGAGCCGGCTATAAACTAACCGCTTAAATCATCACCAAACCGTATGCTCAGGAAATCGCCCTCGCTGCCCCCAACTAACGGTCACGAGTAGCATAGCTCAACGAAATGCAGTGAAAGGCATCCAAACCAAAATCCTGTGACCTTTCTTTTGAGGTGTCTTATCCCTTGGTGTCATTAGGTCACCTAATGACTATATCCTTGACCTAACTCCTTCGCCCACAAATAGCATACTATGCAAAGCACTCATGTGTCTTGGTTTGCCGTTATTTTGCCTTCCATTGTTGCCATCATAAAAGCGTTTCAAATAAACGGGAAATAGTGATCGACTCCTGAATTTTGTAGTCGGAACAGGTTTGTTGTGATGTATTCACCTACAGCAAAAGTTTTTGCCTCTCAGATCGATATTAGCAAGCTCTGCGAAACCCTATTGCTGTTGGATACTTCCTCCTAGTTCTCTTATTAATTCATCTGGCGTTGAGATTGATTTTCCCCGGAGGCTCGCACTTCGCCCTTTAACACGTCGTTGAGATTTGATTTCACTTTGGCTAGTATCTTAGCTTGTTGATGCGGATGGCTCCCTTTCTGTCATAGCAGGAATTTTTGTGTAAATCAAAAATGAATATGTTTCGACCGTTTTTCGATTCATATTGGCCTTCGAGAGTCGGCAATCGGAAGGGATTGATGGAATGGAATACGAAGGGGACGAAGTTGGGCCGGTCATTTTGTCTCATGGCGTCCATGTAACTCGTAATTGAATTCCATGTAAATTGTAATCGTCCATGTAAATTTGAATTGTTAGCAGCGGCCACGTGCCCAATAGTAGGGGATATGGGGATAAGATATAAAACAAAGTGCTGAATTTCTTTTCTGGAAACTGTTTACATGAAAGGTAGAGTTATTCTAAAACCTTTCCTCTGTTCTAAGATGCATTTTTTTTACAGTACGGACTTTTATCTCTTGGTATGATAGACACGAGATTCACATGATTCATAAGAGAGGATCACCAGCCAGTGCAATATTACATCCATAAACTTTTTCCAGATATTTTTCGAAGATCGTGGGTCGACTTGAGCAGCGAAAACACCCCGCAGCCTGCAGCTAAAGTACCACATCCACATAACGAACACGTCAGAATGCCAAATATAAAAGTAAGTGCGGCGAATAGTGATTAGCTTTGTATCGTTCACGTTTGCTGTTCGGCTCAAAAAGCATCGCTTGAGCTATTATATGAATGACTAGCTTGATGAGATGGTAAGGTTGTAGCTTAACTCGAAATTTGTTTGTCACCTTAAATTTTTTGCGGGTTTTCAGTTTTACTCTTTTCTCTCTAGCGGCTAGTCTCCTTTGAGCAAGGGCCTTCCATTCGTTGAAGCAATGTTGGGAGGTATGGAATAGGTGGTTGATGATTGATTTAACACCCACATTCTCCAACAGCCATAGGCTGGGAAGAACAAATTGTAAAAAATCAAGGGAGGCGAGGCAGAAACGCGATTTTAACTCGGGGCTAATGGTACTCAAGATACCATAAATGTCTACAGAAGGGTTTGAGTCATGAAGAAAGATTGCATCTGACAATACTTCAGAATGAATAAGATTGTCATGCACTTCGTGCTCTTGCTCTCGCACAAATTATTCCTAGCTCCTTTTTCTTCTGCTGATAGATAATAATGTAAACCAAAGTAATGTTTTGAGGTGTTCTCCGGATCTTCGCATCGTGATCTGTCTCAGCGAATTTGTGAACGCCTTCAACTGGAAGTATCGAAAGCGTCGTTGAAAAAGTTTAGCAATAAGGTAAAACATTATTCCCTTTTCCCTTGAGAGGAGAAATTTTTTCCAAAATTGATTCTGCTCGGAATTGCTTACTGATTGATCTGCTTTTTTCAATGTTTGTTCTATGATGACGAGAATATGTGAATGGTGGAAACTTTTTNATATTTTGTTAGTAATTTTATTACTATATTTCAGGAAACAAATGTCGAAATAGGCGAATCGGTTCGAGGTGAGGATGTGTACATAATTCAATCAGGAGCTGGCGAGATCAATGATAATCTGATGGTTAGTGATCAGTGTTGGTCCTTTCAGTAGTTATTTTTTCTAAGCCTAACTCTGACGATAATCAACTTCTTATCGTGATGGCATATTTTTGAGGAGTGCACCAATTTCATTCTTCCAACATTAACAAGATGCCTAGAGGGAAAGTGTTTGTTACAGGAATTACTCATTATGATAAACGCATGCAAAATTGCGTCGTCGTGCCGTGTTGCAGCAGTTATTCCATGCTTCCCTTATGCTCGTCAGGACAAGAAGGATAAATCTCGAGCTCCCATATCGGCTAAACTGGTACGTGTCGAGTGTTGTTACTGTCAAGCAAATAAGTAATCCTGTTTAATTATCGTGGATGCTTTTTCACCCGATGCGGAATGTTATACACAAAAGTTCTTGCCCTTTTGGTCTGTCGGATAAGAATGTGTTCAGAAAGAGTCCATTTAGATTCTTTAAAAAATATAAGGGAAAATGAACTGTTGTTTAAGGTTGCCAATATGCTCTCTGTTGCTGGAGCTGATCACATCATCACCATGGATCTCCACGCTTCACAAATACAGGTTTGATTTCTCAGTGTTGATTTTTGATTTTCATTATGAAGGGCCAGTTTTGTGTTGCAGGGCTTTTTCGATATACCTGTGGACAATTTGTATGCTGAGCCGGCAATCCTAAAGTACATTAAAGAATCAATCCCTAACTGGCAAACCTCCGTTATCGTGTCTCCAGACGCAGGAGGAGCGAAGAGGTAATCTGTCTCGTGTTTTGGCCCTGCATTTTGTTATCTACTGTTTTTCCCAAAGTCCAATAATGGGTGTATGAGGAGGGGATGAGGCTAAACTTGGGTTTCATTGTGGTCACAAATCAGACATGATTATTTACTTATTATTGAACAGTTTCCGAACAAAATAGTTAATTTTTTAAGAGTGACTTCGATTGCTGACCGCCTTAATGTTGACTTTGCTCTTATTCACAAAGAACGGAAGCGTGCTAACGAAGTAGAGAAGATGACGTTGGTTGGAAATGTTGAGGGCAAGGTGTGTTTTGTTTGCTTTTGACTTTGCTATTTTTTAATTCTTTGCTCATCAGTGCGCAGCGATATCATAGTCTCACGGGCTGAATGAAATGGTAAGTCGATGTGTACATATTTGCTGAATCTCAAAGAGTAGTTTAGAATTGCGCGCGCTAAAATCATTGGGTTAGCAGGAAAGATATGGGTAGTGGTAGTTCTTGCCATGAAGTATTGTTAATGTAACCATATGAACATGATTTCTGATTTTTGAAGCCGCTGACATTCCTCCCAATGCGTGGCTTCGAAATCTTACCAAGTTAGGGTTTACTATCTTTTTGAATCTGAATTGGTTCTTAAATGTTCATCACCTTATTTTTTTGAGTGAACCAACCAACTCTTCTATTACTGCCAATGTGAGAAAATGTATGCGAATGCTGCATTCGTAGTACGCCGGAACGGCGTTAATATCGGGTTTTGATCGATGTCCTGGTGATCGATGGGTAACGCTCGTTTGGCGCCTTTTTGGGCATTCGACTGAATAAAATAGAATCTAAAAGTTCTCCAATAATAATGTGGGGCATCTGCACGGGGATCACGTAGGAAAAAATAGAACCAAAAATTGTTCCGTCAACATTTGACATAACAATTCGCATCGAATCGAAAAAAATGAAAAGATCTCTTCCAAAAATGAATTCGTACCTGAAGGATAGCTTGGAGCAAACACTGCAAAGCTGTTATCACGAAAAACGGCTGATTAAAACAGGCATTTTGAACGGTAAGAAGGTGTTGACAAGCGAGATCCTTCGAACTGCAGGATATATCGATCGACGGCTGACGCTGAGGCCAGCGTCGGTACTATAAATGCAGCTATACAATTTCCAATATACAGCCGAGAATAGTTGAAAAAGCTAACCGCCGATATCACCGCTTGCTCAATGACCGGGAGAGATAGCCGAAGTTCTTCTGCATGCTCGATCTATGCCTTTTTGATACGGATGTTTGGTCTGAACGAATTTCCGAATGGAATATGAAATTGCGCTTTATCACTCCATTTAGCTATTTCATTTTATAATGTATTAGTTGTTTGCTGTTGCAGGTAGCTTTACTTGTTGATGACATGGCAGATACATGTGGCACAATCTGTATGGCAGCAGACAAGTAAGAGTTTAACTGTTTGAACATCTATTTTGAACTACATCTACTTGAAAAATTGTCGTTTAGACTCGTGGAGGCAGGCGCTGATAAGGTGTACGCTTTCTGTGTTCATGGAATCTTCTCGGGACCTGCATTACAGCGTCTTAATAACTCGAAATTCGAAGCAATTGTGGTTACGAATACCATACCCCAAGACGAGAATATGAAGCAGTGCCCGAAAATTCAGGTTTGTGGAGTATAAAGTGTGGTGTCTGGGTGTTTCGGATTTCATTGTACACTTAAGAAATGTCATGAAGCTCATATCATTTTGATTGATTATTAATAGGGAAACTTCGGCTTGAATAGCTCTTGTAGATTTCTTTTCCCATATTCAATTTTCCTTTGACCATAATTATTTTTGTTAAAAAATTGACTTTTAGTGTATTGACATCTCGATGATTCTCGCGGAAGCGATACGACGAACACATAATGGCGAGTCGGTGTCGTATTTGTTCTCTCACGTTCCTATTTGTTAGTCGTTGATGTACTACTCGTCGATATAGGGCTCCTCATCGCCCTGAACTTAACCAAAATCGTTGCATTATTGCTAGATGGGAAAGAGTTAGCTAGGTTGGCGGATTAGCTACGAATACTTACGGGAGTGTAATGTTTGTAATATGTACTTGTTCATTTCATCGATTAGAGTACAATTAATTACTGACCACCCAGTTTAAGAAAACTCAAGAGGTTTTTCTTTGTTATAAGAATGCTCAGCAAATCTCTATCTACCCTACCGTTGATGAGCGCAAAAGGCATTCACTTTTGCAGCGATTGGTTGTTTCTGTGACGTGCCATGTTCTGTTTAAACTCAAAGCTGTATATGGGTGGTCCCGCTCGGTAGATTCTTTTGTGTATGTGTAGTTCGTTGTCTCTCTCATTTAGCATATCCATATGAAACCCGCACAGAATGTTATGTTGTTTATTGACTTATTGAATCACGTGTATCGCGAATAATAATAAAGATGAAGCGGCATGTTCACGACATGTTTAATGTATTCAATTGTTAAGAATACCTTCAAAATTCAGTACTTTATAAAAGGGGAGCACTGTACTTGTCTCTTTGGCACAACGTAATCGTTGATATATCGAGATACAGAACTTTCAAATGTCACCGCCTCAGTCGCACTGAATTTCTGTGACCGCTCACAGTGGGTGGCATAGTGTGCAAATGGGACGCTTAACTCAAGGTTCTGGGATTCTATCACACTTCCAAATGGGAAGTTTTTTTGTTTGACAACGAGTTTTCGTGTATAGGGAAGGAGTATGCGAAGAATGATACAGAAAAGGATTCGCAAAGCAAACGTCTTCTCAATGGCTTTTAAAGCGGAAGTGTTTAAAAAACGANAGCGCTAGAAAGCTGCGTGACAGTTGTAAGCTGAAGTAAAACTGTCATAAACACTGTCTTCGAACCTTTTTTGTTTTTCAGAGCTCATCAGACGTTCTAGGCGCTGAACTCTCATCATGAACCTTATCGTAAGCGGAGGAACACGTAAACTAGGGAAAAGAGAAATTCTGCCATGGTTACCCTTGAGTCGGTTGTGCAGAGTCAGCTTATCACCTTTCCCAACATAGTACAGTTGTGGAGCTGAAATGTTATTCCGTAGACTATTCTCCAGGTCTAAATTCTGTGCGCAAATTGGATGCGTGGCGCGTTTATTAGTGGTCACTTAAAGCTCGATATGTTGTCCCTTCCTTATGAAAACACCAGTTGTGCTTCCACATAATGGACTTTCACATTCTATCAGATCAACCCCATTTGTTAGGCCCATGCATTCTCGGCTCCCATTCCCAGGCTAAAGCTGAAGACGACCAGTGAACCTACAAATCGAAGTCCTTATATTAGCGAACGACCACGCTGTAAAAACCCGTTGAAGGGTTAGTGTTTGGCTGGAAGACGTTCCGTGCAGTTGTTCGCTTTTCATGCTGCCATGTCACAAATTCCACTGGCCCAACTTAGTCTACAGAGATCGGTTCATAAATCTTTCAGTTGGGTTTGTACTTTTTGCCTTTGCTACCCGAAAGAATATAAAAGGCGGAATACCAAATTTCGAGCTGGTTGTTGACGCATACCTCCATTGACATATTGTTCGATGGCATTTGTAGATTGTTTATTGCCACCCCTAAGATATTCCGACGCATTCCTTTCTCGTATTACACTCCAGGTATCGCTCACGTATCAATCACTAATGTTTCTACAGTCCACGATTGCGCTAGAGTTTGACTTCCACCTTTTTTATGCTTTCATAAATTCTTAATTTAAATGCTTTCATAAACTGGCTGGCAATACATTTTCTGATCACCAAACCTGAATCACTAACATCTCCGTCCGATAGATTCGCTCCAGCGACTAGAGCAGACCATTCCTTTCATTCAGAGTATTTATGAAGAGAATTTTAATCAACAGGTCCGCCACTCTGCTCGCATTCCTTTGATGCTCCGACGAATCCAATAGCCAACTCCTCTGAGCCAGCAGTCATCTCAAAATCTACAGTAGCATCCCCTGTCATGGGTCATTGATGGAGCTCTATACATGAGCGTAACGGGAGCTTTCGAGTATTGCAACAGCCACAGTGAGCGGAATAGTACCATCTGCGGACTCATCCTACCTGCGCGGAGTCCAAGACTCCGACTTGACTGCGAGGTTCACTGGAAGTATCGCGATAATTCAATGACCCTTGGTTCAAATGTTTGGCAAAATGAATGAATGCTCCTTGCCTTTTTCATAATTTTCTCAGTAATCTCGGATACTCGCCGTTTCGGTCACTTTCAGTGGTTCATATTGTTAGTCCCTCAACCTAGACTCGCTTTTGGCACTATGGGATGTGCGTTTCGTTGGGCTGGGAGCAGGGAAGTGCCGTTTACAAGCGTTGCCGAAACCAGCTTGCAAATGTTGTACCTTCTCGATATGCGGTGTTATGAGTATTGTATTCGGAGGTAGTGGGGAAAAGCTTGGGATTTTTAACCGAATGAGAACATTCTCCAGGTCTTGGAATTGTCCAACGGCTCCGGCCCAACATCGCCACAGGTTTTTTAAAAACGATGAACGTAAGGCATAGAGATAATTTTCGCAATTCCTCCACTGAGCTTCGTAACCACAGTGTATGATCGATTCTTTTGACTGCCCTTTGATACTCTGCTTTATCGCATGGTTGCCCTTCAACTTATGTTCTGCCCACCCTGTTGAGGATGACTCACGTGCAAAGTAGCTGCCACCTTTACCATTGCCGGGCTACTTCATGGACTTTCTAATTCCCTTTTTCTATTTCTATTTTCGGCACAAGATGTTCCTTGCTGTCTGTATGCTGCCAACGCTTGTTCGACACCTCTACTGAAGAACCTCATTGCCTTCTGATCAGAGAAACATTGGTTTCTGTTGCTGTTAAGTTTATGTCCACGAGGGTTCTTCTTTCAGGAAGTGGAACGGAAGAGGTAGTAAGGTTCATTCAAGGGAGTAATATGTCGGTGGGATTTTTTTGGAATTGATGGGGAAGAATACGAATGCGAATGATGCAACCCCCAAGCTTTCACTTGGCTTAGGAACCCGTTCGCCTTGGATGTGTACGTCGGCTAAGCAGGTTTTGGGGTCCACCCTGTATTAGCCGTTTTTCAACCCGGCAGCGTCCCTTGGTCTATCCCTGGGGGGTCGCAGTTCATCCAAGGAAGAAATCTCACAGAACATTTCCAAAGTGAACTGTGCCTTTGAGCCTTAATATGGAAGCGAGCAATTACTTCGCTCGGTTCTAATTTCTCTTTTCTCTTCACATGGGTAGACATCCGGGATTTCATTTCTATGGTGTTGTCCTGGTCATAGAAATTTATGCGGGCCGAATACCTTACTCTGCGGTACAGATTCGCTTCAGACGAGATACTGAAGCATTCCCACAGAAATTCCCAGCATTCCCATGAGGAATAACAGGAAGTACGAGATGTCTCATTCAATCAATACTGTAGTGCTGTAGTGGTGTCAAAAGACTGACTATACATCATGCTAAAGCAATTCGAGGAAGCCNGCGGTACAGATTCGCTTCAGGTGAGATACTGAAGCATTCCCTCAGAAATTCCCAGAATTCCCATGAGGAATAACAGGAAGTACGAGATGTTTTATTCAATCAATACTGTAGTGCTGTAGTGTCAAAAGACTGACTATACATCATGCTGAAGCAATTCGAGGAAGCCACAAGAAGCCATAGTTGTGGAATGTCCGGCTGGGCGACGTAGCTAATTCGGAGATGAATCATAGCCTGAAGAATTCGCCATTGCTTACTTGGCACCGCTTGGAATCTCGCCTAGATGGACGAAATCCTATAAATTTCATTTGTGGGGCCGTTCGTCGACTTATTCCCTAGTGCTGTTTTTCCGCTCCACTGCTGTGTATATTCACAAAAATGGTCCTTCTCCTGATCTTTAAATGAGCGTAACCATCAGACCGGTTGTTTTTCGCTTTTTAATTGCCTGATTTATTCATTCTCATTGCTCAAAGAATTTTAACCTCTTTTTTTCAAGTCGAAATGAATATTCTAACGGATGAGCTCTTTCATCCCCAATCAATAGTTGACGACTTACAAATTTTTTAAATTGAAGTTGAAGTCTATAATTTTAATTCCGTCTATCTGGACGAGCTTCTAAGCAGTGCCAAGTAAAAGTTGGTTTCTAGAAGGAATACCTTCTTCTAGAAGAATTTCCATTGCTCTTAAAGTACGGTCCACAACAATTTCGCGGTACTTGTCTTAGTCAAAAAGAAACATTGGAAATTACGGTGCGCAATAGTTCAGTGGTGGAGAAAATACGTAAAAGTTCAAATATTACGGTAAAAAAAAACACAAATTAGTAGCAGAAGAGGTTGTACGATATTTTGACAACAGAAGTGACATGAAAATGGTATTTGTGGTCGAGAACGCCAAAAAAAGCTTTTCGCTTCCCTCGTCGGAGTAATGACTGGCTGGTTGGATTTCCAACATGTGTGCTCCATTGTGAATGGTGCAGCCTTCTTCAATTTCTTTAAAACACGGCCGCTTCTGGGTGTGGCATACAGTGGATACAATTTTAAAGCTCTTATCACGTCCTATCTAGGCATTTTGGATCTGGTAGTCTGCATATAGCAATCTTGGGGAATGGGGGGCATGGATCCATCTTGCATGAGGAGCATTAACGCTTAGGTTCGGCAACATTAAGTGCAACGAAATATTCTAAGCATCAGAGCACGAACTTAGACAATGGAGAATTCCTCGCATTATTGACGTGTCCACGAAACGGGTTGAATCAGTCGACTCATTAGCTATTTCTTTTTCGAGTCTCTCCGATTCTTCAGTGGCACAAACTGAAAAGCGCCTAGGCACCCACCCATAGATATTGATCTATTGGTCACTGGAATCAACGTCAATTTTTTTAACCTTTCTACAACATTTCTTCCACCTACCCATTCCTGTGATGTGGTTGGATTATAATCTATGTGACATTTTTTGTCTGCTAGTCAGGGTTTGTTGGATTTGCTAGGGGAAAACACAGAAACGAAAATTCAGTCCGGCACTCGGTTCTTACAGTAATCCGACACGTGTTAACACGTATATTTTTACCCGTCACATATACGTCGGAAAGGGGCTTTGGGCAAGGACACGGGGGTGGGTGGTGGAGTAAGCCAGGGGGTTACTGTAAGAGCCGAGTGCCGGACTGAATCTTCATTTTAGTAGGGGAAAACGTGCCCTAATCAATGTGTTCCGGACGCGCGCATGCAGCGGAGAAAGTTTAGCAAGAAAAAAGTCAAAGTTAGAAGCGTAGTAAGGCTTACTTCTTCTCAACATACGTACTCTGCTTTGACTCTGCATGACAGCAACTATTTTACGTCTCTTTTTGGTGACAGTTCCTTTGAATGTGGCTGTCATTGTGCTACATCGCTTTTCGGTCTGAGTGCAGTGAAGTAGTGCGGGCAGCCTATAACAGTTGTAATACAATGGGTTCTTTTTTTCCGTTTTTTTTTTCTACCGGATGAAATCCATTGTCATCGCTACCGTTCCTTTTGCTTTGTCCCAAAGTTTTTGCCTTTTGTTTCTTGCATTGTACTGTTGCAAACTATCGTCATGAAGTTGGAATGCAGTATGAACCGTCTTGGAAGAATTATCGTGCTAGAAAAGTTCTTTTTAAAGATTTCTACCATACGATTATTATTTCCGCTAATTCATTAGTTCGCGAAGCCTTTTGAAATATAAATAGTTTCTTGTAAGTTTAATCTAATAAGGTTTTACGGTGATTTCTAGATCCGTTCATGAAGAAACATTTTTTGAAACCGAGTGTTTTCGTTTCTACCTTGATTTGCATTTTTGTTTGAAGGTTGAAAGTGTTCAAGCTGAGAAGCTGCTGTTTTGTATGATCCACGCGCTTACTCTGTATCATCAGTTAAGCCTAGTAAATGGGCGCAGGTTTCTCCAGAATTTCTAGGACTATGTATCTAACTGAAGGGTGGAGGTGGTGAAGTGGCAAATGGCACCACACCTGTTACCCACGCACGGTCCTCCTGGGGATTGAATCCTGGGTCGAGATTCGCGCAAGCTAACCAAGCACTCATCCCTCCAGGTAGATTAGTTGGTACCACACTCGTCTGGGAGGATAAAAGCATTGAATTGAACATCGGCTGGCCACCTAAATTATCGTATGGGCCACATACGCATTCAAAACGCCACTACCATTCTGAATGGAAGCCGTGTCTTACTTTGTCCTATACAAATCTAATTGGATTTTGTGTTTGTGTGAGTAAGCCGCAGTCAAAACAGAATGGCATGTTTACATTTCCTCGTTCGTTTCATTGTTCGACCTAATTTCTCTTTGTTATTTTTTCACAATTTGAAAAATACTTCCTTGTATCATTTGATTTTTCATTTTCAGAGTGATGATATAATCTATGTGAACGATCGAGCGCCTAATAGAATATGGGACTTTTCCCGTTTTTCAGTCGGGGTGCGGGAAAGGTTATCTACGCGAAGGTGACCACAATGGATGCAGACCTCGATCGGATTGTTGTCGAGGTAGGCCTTTACCTTACAGAGCGTTTACATTTTTGTTTACAATTGAGTCGCTCTCAAGAGCTCGGCAGCTTTAAAGATAATTGCCTATGGGCACAGTTATGGGCGCCTAATAATTGCAGTGTTTAAAGCCTCTATGCTGAGAATGGCAACAGAATCTATGTATGTCCGCTTACATCATGTGCAACAACAAGCTACAATCACATTTCAAGACATGTCCTACCCTTCAATCGGGGACCACCCGAAGAAGTGAGAGGGGTAAGGTCTGGTAGGCAGCGTGGCCGTTCCTCGGTGCTGATGCAGTTAGGCAGTTCGCTTCGTCACCACTCTTAGTCGAGCGTGGCTCTGGGGCTGAAGTTCCATCCTACTGGAAGCACCATGGACTGTCTCAGAAGAGGAACCGAATCAAAGCTTCAACACGTCCCTCAGTATGTTCATTAGGTACACGTCTTACAATTTCCACGCCGGTACCAACGAGACCTAGACTGTCCTACCACTGCCCGTTGCCCCTCCTGAATCATCGTTTTGTTATTCTTATAACATTTTCGTGAAAGATTGCACTTTCGATGTTTCTATCCAGGACGAGATCTGATATTTGTTGAGAATTAGCTTTTCCGCAGAAATTTTCTCGTCAGACAAAACGATTCAGTCCGAGTGGCATTTCTGCATACGATAGGAATGGGATTGAGGTCTTTCCTTGACGATTTGCACCATTGTCAACTTCGATACTTCCATTTCCGTTGTCGCCTCTTAGATGCACCGCTTAGCGTCCACTCAAGGACGAACCAAGAGTTCAGTAGTCGTACACCAGCCTTTCTACCCTTTCCGGATTTGTAATTAATCGATCCTGCTTATCTGTATCGCTGAATAAGCTTATGTGCGGTCATTATGGGATTCACAAAAAGTTGACGATGTCCTTCCGTCTAAATCTTGCTTCGCTACCTATGCAGATTGCAATAAAACTTACTCGTGCAACTATTCAATGAAGTAGAATTGATAGGTTGCTCCTACCTAGTAATTTTTGAATTTTGGTGCACGTAAAGGTTTTTTTGGACACCCTAAAGGTGAAGCACGTATGACGAGGATGGGCAGGGGAGTGTAAGAAACCGTTTCGTTGCTGGAGAAGACGTTCACTGGCATCAGGTGATGCCTACGTCTTCAGTTTTCTGAACAGCATTTGATACTTTCTGTTTTTTATGACTGGTTTTTAAGACTTTCTGTAGTAGGTTTATGTTCGTTCATGTTGCTGACTATTAATGTTTTACAGGCAACCTGGACTGGTCGCCATTTATTCGACGCAGTTTGTCGCATTATAGGCCTCCGTGAAGTGTGGTTTTTTGGTCTACAATACACCAATAAGAAGGGTTTGCCATGTTGGTTGCAAATGGATAGGGAGGTAAGCCTGTTTTCGTTTCTAGGAACTTGTATTCACTATCCGTTTGTTATCCTTGAATTTGCCCTTGAGTGGTTATTTTCAGATAAGAAAACAAGATGTTCCACGAGAAGGAGATGGATGTATGCAATTTCTTTTCCTGGTAAAGTTCTATCCAGAGGATGTGGAAGAAGAGCTTATCCAAGTACTATCGATATTACCAATTAGCAGTTTCTTTTTTTCAAGTCAAAGATAATCTATGAGTACATGTTTTGGAATCTGGAACGATATTTTACATCTTTGCATCGTTACCATTATATAGTTGCCTTAGGTGGTGGTAAATGAATTGTGATTTTGCATATGTAACGCAAATTTGACAACTTTCTTTTTGTTCAGGATCTCACAAGGCATCTTTTCTTTTTACAAATAAAACAAGCCATATTATCTATGGATCTCTATTGCTCACCTGAGGCTTCTGTTCTTCTAGCAAGTTTTGCCGTTCAAGCAATAGTAAGTCCTTTTTCATCTCAAGCAATTTGAAAATATAGCATATAGAACTTTGCATATATTCTAACGGTTGTCATTTTTAACGGATCTGAAATTTTGGGCAGTAAGCGATAGTTCTCCTCGAATATCTTGTAGTAGTTATAGAAATGCGATTTCTCAGTCCTCTGTTCTCATGTTTTTTTGGCATGGTTTTACTTTCATCGCATTTCTAATTATTTCAGAATGGCGACTGCACGGATGACACTGGGCCACTAGATTTGGATAAATTACTGCCGAAAAGCGTCATTGATCAGTACGATATGAGTGCTGATATGTGGAGGGAGCGTATTAAACGTTGGTGGATCAACAACCAAGGCCAGTCTAGGTCAGTGTTGTCCTTTTTATGGTTTCACCACGAGTCGTGTTGATAGTTATTGCAAATCAGTTATATTGGCGAAAGCATGTGACTCCGTATGGATTTTCTATGACTGATGGCTCACACTAATCCCTTTCATTGCTTGGTCACAATATTTTTCGAGAATCCTGTTTTGGGTTAAATTACAAGCTTATCAAACTAACACTTGCACCGCTCGTTTTAGCGCACGCCGCTGTCATGTGCAAGGCACACTGTTACAGTGCATAACATGCATTAAGATCTGTTCATAATTCGTCGTTAACTTAACCAGGTTCCAAGTGCTTCTTCTGATATTGTTGTATGTAAATAGGTCTTTGAAATTTCAATCCATAGGTCAATGACGAATATTTATTCTGTTGTTTGTGTTTGTTTGTTTTGTTTTTGAAAATTTGTTCATTCAGGGAGGACGCCGAAATGGAGTATCTACGTGTTGCTCAAGATCTCGAAATGTATGGAATCCTCTACTATCCCATCTGTGTACGTCGTTTCCTTTTTCTTCCTCACTTTTGCGTATTCTATCTTACGTAATGTATCCGTTATCTTACGTGAAGTATTCGTTACAGAACAAAAAAGAAACTGATTTACATCTTGGCATTTCGGCTCAAGGTCTTGGAATATACAAGGGCTCAAATAGAATAACACCGAGACCGTTCTTTTCATGGAGCGAGATCAAAAACATTTCGTTCTATAACAAGAAGGTGTGTCACCATCTAGCTGCAGAGTTGAGTCGCCGCAAAATCCCATAATTCTCTCTAAAAAATTTCAGTTTCACATGAAAACGGTGGACAAGTCAAAGATATCATTTCGTGCTCAAGAAAGGACTATTAATCCTTCCATTCTTGATTTGTGCATAGGAACTCACAATCTATATCTCCGACGGCGTCAACCGGATACCCTAGAGGTACCTTATAATTGCTCAATGTTTCCTTTTCTTGGCACATCTTGGCAGCATCGGGCTGTGTTGCCGAGCCGAAACGAACCAGCCGTCCTAGAGCTATGATATTTTGGCGTCTTTACTCCTTCCATGATCCCCAATTACTTTGCTATAAATTTCGCTAGATCCTTCGGTAAAATCAAGTGTTGCGAGCATGTTAAAGCTATGTTCATTTGAATTGTTTTACTCAACCAATTTTTCTTACAGGTGCAACAGATGAAAGTATTAGCGAAGGAGGAACGAGCGCGTAGACAGGTCAGTCCTAAAATGCCATCATAAATTTCATGACCAGTACTATACTCTTAGGGGTTATATTCTGTTGTCGTAATTGTTTGATAGCAACAAGATTTTGGGTTAGGAGAAGTAAAAGTTATCCTAGAGCTGTTATCCTGACATAGAAGGAACTAGTTTGGGCTTGCCTTAGTGTGGGAGCAAGCTCTATTATTGAATAGGTCACCTTGTCATGTTCTCCTGTTCATGTGATATAATGAGTGCTGTAAGTTCAACAGTAATAGAAGAATGTTTGAGAATTAAATCCTTGTTTAAGACCCTTTCTTAGTTTCCCAACTCCGAAAGGTTTTTCGAAGATTGCTTACTATGAACCTAAGATTCTGCTTTGATTCTGAAATCTGAAGTTCATGTGCCCATGCCCTCTGGCTTTTGCGTATGGGTCACACAAGCAAACCGCTTGTCGACGTCAGTCATAAGGTTACGGAAACAATGAAATATTGAGGCATTTCTATGATCAGATGTTTGGCTTACACAAATCACGAGCTGTTGATTCTCCTTATTCCGTTGTCTTTCCTTGTTGATACGGCAGCTGCGAAGCCATGAAATTGGAGCTTTTTTTGAGAAGTATAGAGCGGAATCCTTCCCATCTCCAGAAATGCCCTAGGAGAAACTCTAGGGATCTACCGCATCCGTGGTGTTTCTCGCATCGCTTGCGTTGTTTTCACAATTCGTGAAGCAAAAGCTATGGAACTTACCTAGGGTTATCGGCCATTGTATGCGATTTGAAAATACTGCCAGAATTAATCGAAATTGTGCATCATGAGTAATCAGGCAATATTTGACAACCTGCATTTTTTGGTATTACTTTGTATTATTTTGATATTTTGCCCTCCCAAACATATTGATTACAGCAAGAACTTGCTCGCATTGCTAGAGAACGAGAAGAACGTCTGCAAGTGGAAAATGAACGAAATCAATTGAAGGCAGAGGTGGAAAAGATTGCGGAACAACTCGCGCAGGCCAAGGTGAGACACCGTTTTAGTTGGGAGCTGGTTCCAGTTGCTACCATAGTCATATACCTACAGGTTACTTTCATGAGATATCACTTCCACTTGTTTTACTTGAAGGAAACCGCTCGCAAAACAGAGGAAACAGCAGAGCTTCTTGCCGAGAAGGCGAGAGCGAGCGAACAAGAAACGCTTATGCTCACAAAAAGAGTCAGTGAAGCGGAGGCGGAGTGTCATCGGTTGCAGATGAATCATGTCAAGGTGCGACTAATTATTGTTTGATTAGGGTTGACTGATTTCGAGTGTAATGCTAATGGAATGCTACAACGTGACATGACTAATTCTTTTTCATCAATGTTATGTCTTTCTTAACCCATTGGAGACAGCGCGTGTTTTGGATTTTTCGGCCGCGTGGGACATGTGCGTTTTGGCGGGCGCGGCCAGCTTGACGCGCATGCGCGTCAGGATGTCCCACGAGGTGCACTTTTTGAAAGCCAAAGCTGAGAGGCAACAGTAAAAGTGTATTATGTTAGCAAATGAAAAGAGTAGCCGACAGGGGGGTACTCTGCTTGTCTGCACCCTCTTAGCGAAATAGAAACCGCTTTGATGCGCTTGTGAAGCAAAGATAGGAAATTGCTACCTAGAGGCCTAGAGAGCTGTAGAAAGAGAGAACTGGGGTTGTAAGATATATTGCTTGTCATCAATGAAACCTGGAATATGTGATTATACACTCTCTGGCTAAGAGAGTGCAAACAAGTGTGTGCCACGTAGTCGCCTCACCAAATTCAAATTTTTGTAACGTCAACGAAAAGGAACATCTCAAAAGCAACATCTATAAAAGGGCTGGAGTCGAATACGATGCTGAGGACACATTGGACTTTGACGTACTACTAATCCCATCCGATGAGGAAGAACAAGGAACAACTGAAGATGAAGTGGATGAGGTTTTGCGAAGACCGACTATATAAAATCAAAAGATTCGTGCAACTGTTCAACGAGACAGCGGCCAGACTTTACTCGATCGGGAAAGAGGTGTGTGTTGATGAGTCCCTTGTTCCATTCCGAGGGAGAATCGTTTTTAGGCAGTACATGCCTACTAAACGGCACAGATATGGAATCAAATTGTTCAAGTTATGTGCTAAGGGTGGCTATACAGTCAGGATAACAATCTACGCAGTCAAAGACCCTTCAAGACACGAACCACTTGCTGACCAAGTTGTGCTGGAACTAATGGAAGGTTACCTCGATGAAGGCCGCATCGTCTGCACGGACAATTTCTACTCCAGCGTTGGACAGGCCGAGAAATTGCCATCAAGAAGGAGCCACCTCGTTGGAACTCTCAGGAGGAACCGAAAAGGAATTCCTAAAGAAAT